ATGTTATGTTATGTTATGTTATGTTAGGTTATGTTATGTTAGGTTAGGTTAGATTAGGTTAGGTTATGTTATGTTATGTTAGGTTAGGTTATATTAGGTTAGGTTAGGTTATGTAATGTTAGGTCAGGTTATGTTAGGTTAAGTGGGGATTCGTTTATATATTTTTTAATAAGTCTGTAGTCTCTAATGCTTGTGTTTCATTATACAAACCTACTGTACAAGGGTTGCAAAAGTCTCGGTTTAGATTGATCAAGAAAAGCAAGGTATGAGCCGGTACCGAATTGCACTGATCAATTTTAAGTGGAGCACCGGAACTAGAAACCCATGAAATCGCTGCATTGCTAACACAGTCCGTTGAGCTATAGAAACAATGTGTTGAATAACAATTTTTAACATTTCGGAAACAAAAAAAAAATTGGTATGGATAAAAGTACACAGTTTGTCCTGAGTTCTCTGGTCCACTTCAGTGGCTTTGTTCCTACAAAGACAATTATTGTATGATTTTAATGTATAAAACTGAGCTGAAGGCGTTACCCGTCTGCATAAATGCGATATACACGTATGCATATAAATAAGTGTAATAAGATATGCATAATAAACTCTAAATATCCGTTTAAACTACAAACCCAAACTTTCAAATCATGATTATATTTTATGATACGTTTCTCTAGATTTAAATTCTCTAAATGCCTCCATCGATAGCCGAGACACTCTGTATAACCAATGTTCTTACTGTATTATATCGATTTAAGGTGTCCATTTTTATACTTATAACCTAGATAATAGTAAATTTATACACAATGCTTAGTTTCCTCAAAAATACCAAATAGTCACTCTTTGCAAACCAAACACGATTAACCAGTCCAATTCATTCACATGCCTCTTTTAGAAACCTAAAATACTCAAGGGGACAGATTTGAAATTCATAGTAGAATCTAGAGAGTCTGTAGGTAAGAGAGGGTGACAAAATCTACTTAAAACCAATTTCTACTCAAATATATTCTTACTGCACGGAACAATACAAGTAAAAAGTACAATTTATACTGCAAAACGTATGCATGTACTTGGAATTAACGGAAGAATTCCTTTATTATTTGTGTTTTATAAAGAAATATAAGTATTACACAACTTTCTTTTGGTAAAAATCAATCAAAAACAAGGGGTCTATCAAGGGGTCACTCTGTGCTATCTGCATGATGCTTTTCTTGTGATTTTCACGGGCATTTTCAAACAGACAAATAATATCAAAATTAAACAAAAGTCAGTGAATTTTTAAAACTTACAATCGGTAACTTGGGTTGAATTCTACTGAGCTAAAATCGAAACAAATAAATTAAGTTATTACAAGTAAATGTTAATTTTTATCAGTTTGCCTGAGTATTTGTAAATGGGCCTGTTACAACTATTCCTATATTAATCAACGATTAATAAATAAATATATTTTTTTTGTTGGGATAAAATTGTAGGACGTTACAACGTACTGTTGGAAATATAAATGATAACAAATAGAACATATGTGCTGATATTTTTAACATAAAATACAAAAGAAATAATAAAATACCTAACAGGAGTATTTAGAATTACATTCCGTAAAAATAAAACTCCTTTAATATGACGAACCAACATATTTATTGGGCAACAAATGCAAATAGCAATAATACTATTTGCAGTACCTCTAACTCATACTAATGTATTAATTGCAGAGATGGTAACCCAAAGTTGTTGTAATTAGTGATGACAAAGCATTGAGTCTTCTTTAGCAGAATAAGTTTCAGTTTCCTGTGATGTCTTTGGAAGCAACACACTTTAATTGTATTATTTGCTTAGCTTTGTTTGAGATGTGGGAAGGTTTACACAACTTTTCACAAGCTCTGTGGTTTATATATCTTAGTATCGGCAATTGAAATGTTAAAGCCGATAATATTTTCTTTTCATATGTATGTTAAAGTGAGAAATTGAATCAAGCCATTAAAGGCCTGCAAAGTATTATAAAAAAAACATTAACGGATTCTTTTTTATTACAAAGTACAATAAACAATACTGTACTCCAAAGCCGGTAAAAACTCGTGATGGTTCTAAATTAATACATAGATTTATGTTGTTTGAATATTATGGTTTACTGTGTTTAGATATGAATTGAGTATAAAGCTCCATTGTTTTAAATGTCTGTTGAAATAACAACCAAAAAGCAACCAAACTTAAGAATGGTTTAATTTTTTTTTCAAACAATGCCTTACTATTTTGTCTCAAGATAATTAAACTATTTACCAATCTAAAAAAATATATTAAGGTTTTTAAACATTTAAAATTTTGTAGTTTCTAGTAACGCAGACACACTTTTATTTATGATATTTTTGTGTGTGTTTGTTGTTTTGCCTGATAAAAAGATAAATCGATTTGAACTCAAAACATTCGGCTGAAAGATAAATTTATAAGGTAACATCAACAACACTTTTCATATTATCTACTAACACCTCTACAGGTATTCCCGGATAAAACTATGTTGCAAGAAATCGTTTGAGATACACTATCGATTAAAATTAAATTTTACTATGTAATTTAATAGAGAGAGATTTCGAATACACAGGAATTTTCCTTCGCCTTAGATACCTATCGATTTAAATTTCGTGATAAGTAGAGCTACAATTATTGAAAGCTCCAAACCCTCAGGATTATTACGTTGTCAAAAAGCTATGTTGGCGATTGGGAGAATTTGAACCCAACCCTCAAAGACCACGTATTAACCGGGCCAACCTACTTTACGATGGTTCGTAAGTTATATGAAACGTCAAAGTCTGATTACTTAGTTGCCGAGTTGTAGACCGGAGAGGAAGCTAGACTGCAAATTACTAATGAGTTGTCATATTCATAAATAATGACCTGACAACGACACAAACATTGCTGAGAACTTAATTATGTATTATTAACTTAATTACCTGCAGCTATTGTAAATTGTTTAAATAAATAAATAAATGAATGAAAGAATGAACGAACGAACGAACGAATGAATGAATGAATGAATAAATAAATAAATACAGTAAATAAATAAATTACCAAACAGCAAGTCAAACGTATTTGAACACAGAAAAGATAACAGTAAATGGTTTACTGGTAGGAGAACCAATTAATTACAGTATGATGTAAAAATAAAGATTTAGTAGGTATTAAATCCAAATTGTTAGCTTCCAGTCGTATAATGTTTTACGCCACACTACATTATTTTGACGAACTTCCCACGCAAGGATTTAGTCCAGAAAACAGCTGTTTGCCGCCAGCTTATTCAAATGGGGTTTCATTGCGTAATACTGTTCTGCAATGAGTTTTACCGGACACCAATCAGCTGATTATACTGTATTTGCGTGGAAATGATTGGTTATAAACAAAAACATAACCTCTCTTAGAGGTTATGACTGGTGATGTTTAGTCCTTTAGTTGGTTGAAATATATAAGGATTCGTACGAATTAAGTAGTATGGCGTAAACTATCGTACGTAACTCGTCCAAAATGTGTGTACCGGACTCGTATGGTAATCCCGTACTCGACTTCGTCTCGCACGGGAACGACCACACTCGTCCGGTAAACACTTATTTTCAGGACTAGTAACGTAATATACTATTTCGATAAAATGCTTGATGTTAAAACAATCAATTAGTGTTACAGGTACGTAACACGGGGCGTTTTAAAAGAATGCCAGGATTTTAATGGTAAAATTGTATATTGGTGTATACATTGTGTACACTAATTTCTAAACTCTGTATATGTGTATACTTTATGTTTTACAAGATCATTAGCAGTTTTTAAAATAGCAAGCTTCATTCAATCATTTTTTGTTTACAAAAAATTTTATATAATTGCGATCTGAATAGTTTCAATTATTGCAACTAGTTTCAACACGACATTGGGATAATCATAAGTGCTGGATGTTTTCTTGTTGCAAAAACACATCCAATGTTGACCTGATTGTTGAGTTTAAACTAGCTGCTATCCCCCAACAATTCAGGTCGCACCAATGCTAAGTTTTTACGATGAATTTTAGTATTTAATTTCGACCAGGAGGGTAAATTCAACAAAATTAAGTATAAATAGTAATTGGGGAGAAAAAGAATAAAGCTAAAGCAGTTATATTGTCTAATGACACACAATAATTACAAATAATTACAAACACAATTGAGACATGTTTAAAAATAAACCTTTTTTTAGCGATACATTTTTATAGTTTCTCACAGATTAAAATATGATGGTTAGATTACAAGTCCAATGAACATAAATAAATAAAATTTAGCTCTACATTTTACAAATACTGTTCTTAATACGTATTAAAAAGATAAATGTTTTGCTGCAGAGTCGTTAAACAAGAAAAACAGTTTGTATGGTTAGGCCTACTTATACCAAAGAGTTAGCCAGACAGACAGTTTGCTTAGTGCCTACAAACGTCGCACTGCAATTTGGGTGCTGCTATAGAGTTGCCTACCTTTAGATGTACGGAACTTATCAGTGGGCCAGTTTCAACACATTCACAACTTACATTTCATAAAAACCCTGTTGTATTCAAATGATCAATTATCATTTTAGTAATGAACTCTTAAACTTCTTTGATTTATATAGTGAAAATTAAATGTGATTTGACTTAACCTACTGAAAAAATTGTTTTAAATTACATGAGTCACGCGTTAATGTACTGTAATAGTTTTAATTCTTAACATTACCTGGATTTTAGGACATAAGATGTACATTTTCTCCATTTTTAACATGCTGATTTCACCGACAAAAAAGTTCCGACCACTACTGTATCTTTTCTAAATGCAAATAAAGTATGTTTTATGTATTTTTACAGCTTTTCAAATATTTATATTATCATTTTATATGGTTTGTTCAGTTCTGGAAGACAAATTGCATTATAATCGTACGGAGATGCCATTAGACCAATACAACAGCTGTGTAAGGTTGTTTATTAGTAAGACTTCTGTATTTTGTAATATTCAAGTTTTTTATCCAATTACCTGCGTGTAGGTCATCCAACAGCAAGGCTCCACCTGGTTGGCATCCAACCCCCAGAACTCCAACTCCTCCTCGAACAAGGGTCCGCACACGTCCGTTGGATAGTGAAGCTTCCCCGTTCTGCGACAAACAAAAGTTGCAGAATATAATAACAGCTGTTAGGACTTTTAGTAGATGAATGTCCAGTAGGTCGTGCATTAATTGCGCAAAGAGTTCCTTAACTGTGCCAAGCCCTCATAGGGTCCCAAAAAAATGTTCCTTAGGATTGCCAAGCCTAAGCCACCTGAGGATACTTTTCTACGCCGTAAACCATCCATCACCATGGATTTCTATCCTAACCTAACCTAAAGTAACTTAACCCAAACAAACCCAACCAAACCTAACCTAACCTACTCAATTACACAGTCAAAAAGGGCCACCACTTGGCACAGTTAAAACTTATTGGGTGGCTCCCTGGAGTAGTTGGCGCAATTCAAGAATACCTGACCACCTGACTTAGGTCAGTTGGCGCAATTAATGTCCGCCCTTCAAGTACATAAAACGTTCTGATCCCATGGGCCCCCTGTCTCTTTTTTTTCCCTAAACAGATGAACCTTCAGCTCAAAATTAGGCTCCAAACCACTTTTAAGTTCATAACATGGCTAGTGCAGTTTGTTTTATCTGTGACTGGCAAAATCTGCAAAATTTTACAACCATTGGTGTTTGGATTTTAGTGGAAGTTCTACAATGCAGAAAAGTTCTCTCCTGAAATATAGAAAATGATTATGTTTTCTAGACTTATAAACCTACAACTTTTATGGTGGGCTACGAATAATCGCTTAAGGCATTACCACACAGCTATAATTATTGATTAGACAGAATATAATCACGGTCTACAGGACAGAAGACCCGATTGCTAACCATTGGAATAGCCATGCTATTTCAGTAGACCATGCAATAATATTTTGTATAAAAAAACGTAAATATAAAATTTAGAAATTATGACAAAATACGTAGAACTATGGTACTCAATGGATTACAGACATCTTACATCTTACATCTTACATCGGCGCTCCTCTTCGCAGTCGTGGAGACCGGAGAGTTGTCAATTTCTTGGGGGGGGGGTTTGTTGTATTTATGTGTGTGTGTTTATGTGTGAGTGTGTGTGGTTTATTTATTTTAAAGGTGTGTCACATTGTTGTGGTCTTTGTAGAATTCCTTTAAATTGTAGTATGGCCTGTTCAGGAGGTATTTTTTAAGGCTAGTGATGAATTTTTTTGTTTCGTTTATCGATTTTATGTTTTGAGGAAGAGAGTTATAGAGAGTTGTTCCCATGTATGTAGGGGTTTTACTTGTTCTGTGTAGTCTGTGTTGGCCTTGGTTGAGATTTGTCCCTGACCTAATATTGTATTGATGGCATTCTTGTCTGGTTTGTGGAGGATCTGATTTGATGGCGATGATTGTGTCAAGGATGTATTGGGAGGTTAGAGTAAGGATCTTATATTGGATAAATAGTGGCTTGCAGTGTTCTTCATTTTCGACCCTTGCGATGATTCGGACAGCTTTTTTTGGAGTGTGATGATTTTTTGTAGGTGGGTTTCGTCTGCTCCTCCCCAGGCTATAAGTCCATATTTGAGATGAGATGAAAAGAGTGCATGGTAGGCCGTTATTGCTATTGATGTATTTGTGATTTCCCTGATTCTTCTGATTGCAAAAATTGCCGATGATAGTTTTGAGTGTAGAATTTCTAGGTGCTTTTGCCAGTTTAAATTTGAATCAAGGGTAACTCCCAGGAATTTTGTATGGTTTGCTCTGTATATGTTGTTTTCAGTTTGTGGGCTAGCAGCTTCTTCATTACCGTTAGTTCTGTTTTTAACTTTGAATTCAATGTGCACAGTTTTAGTTTTATTTATGGTTAAATTCATGTCTTGGCTTATATTACTGGCTGATTGTATTATGTTTTCAATTTGATTTGCGTCTTTTGTCATGGGGGCAATTATGGTTGTATCGTCGGCAAACATGATGCATGTGCAGTCGGGGGGGAGGAGTGTTGGGAGGCAGTTTATGTAGATGAGAAAGAATAATGGTCCGAGGACTGATCCTTGTGGTATTCCGGTGATGTTTTTTTTTAGTTTTGATCTGTATTTTGTTAAGTGGTTGTTCGATAGGTATTCTATTTCCACCAATTGTTCTCTGTTCTCCAGGTAGCTTTGGATCCAGCGGAGGGCTTTTCCGGTAATTTTGATCTCTTGTAATTTTTTTAGAAGAATCCTGCGGTCCAAACTGTCAAAAGCCTTTTCTAGGTCAATGAAAATACCGTTTGCTGTTTGTTTTTTTTCCCAGATGTCAGTAATGGAGTTGCACAGCTGGGTGAGAGCTGTGTTTGTCGATTTTCCTTCCCTGAAGCCATGCTGGTTGCTGCTTAGAATGCTGTTTTTTTCCAAATATGATACCAATTGAGCGTTTATAATTTTTTCTAGGTATTTTGATAGAACTGGGAGGATTGAGATGGGGCGGTAGTTTTCTGGAAGGCTGTCGTCTCCTTTTTTGTATTTAGGGTATACTAGGGCTCTTTTCATTGCAGTAGGAACTGTTGATTAAGTAATGGAGGCATTTATGATGTTTAGGAGGGGGGAAATCAGTTCATTTTTACAAAATTTAATGATTTTGTTCGGTATTTCATCTAGGCCAGAAGAGTTTTTTGGTGGGAGTTGCTTGAAGATTTCTTCCAGTTCTGTCTTTGATATGGGTTGAAACTGTCCCAGTCCTGTTAGTCCATTTATAGGCCTAGATGTAATTTGATTGTTTTGGTTTTGTTCTATTTGTTTGTGTCCTGAGTTATTTCCAGTGTTTATGAATATGGAGTTGAATCTGTTGGCTATGTCTATTGGGTTTGTGGTTTCATTTCCATTGAGATGTAGAGTTAGATTTTTTTTGTTTTTTCTTTGTTTTTTCGCTCCTTGTTGACGGTCTTCCAGATGGTTTTGTTTTTGTTTGGTGCCTCATTTATTGTTTTCATGATTTGTTCCGATTTATTTTTTTTAATGCTGGTGTCGTACATTTTCTTTAAGTTTGAGTATGTTTTCTTATCCTCTTCAGTATTGCTCAGTATATATTTGTCATGGGCTAGATTGGTCAGGTTTCGAAGCTTGATCAGTTTTTCATCCCAAAAAATATGGTTGGATTTTCTATTGGAGTTTGAGCTAGTTTTGGGGAAGTGTTCATTTATTTTGTCCGTTAGGATTTTTATAAAATTATTATATTTGTCCTCAACCAGTGGAGTCTTGTAGATTTCGTCCCACTTTTGGTCAGTTAGGCTCTGTTTTAGCTGATTTAGTTTGTGTGTAGTTATAGGTCTGACGATTTTTTTAATAGGTTTGTTTACTTGGGATGAGTGTGTTTTAATTTCGCAGCAGACAATGTGGTGGTCTGATAGTGGAGTTTTTAGGGCATTTAATTTTAAATTTGGGAGGCCTAGGTTTGTTAGGCAGATATCAATGCTGGTAATTGAAGTTGGGGTAATTCTTGTGAATGGTATTTTCCCAGTCTCTAGATTGTGTTCTTTCAGGAAGTTTGTAAGCTTTATCGTGTCTGGGCTAGTAGGGTTTAGTATGTTTACATTGATATCCCCGAGGAAGATAATATCCTTGTTTTTGTTTGAAAAGCTTGTTAGAAGATGGTCAAAGCTATGCAGAAAGCCATCCAAGTTGGTTGAAGGTGATCTATATGCCCCTATAATGTTTAAGTGATAATTTTTGTAGTATAGTCCCACAAATTCCGATGTTAGTTCCTCGCAGTGGTCGTCTGTGTTGATTTTGGTGAAGTTTGTTTCACTGTTTTGTTTGGTGTAGGCAGCTACGCCTCCCCATTTATTTTTGCATCTTGAGAAATTGCTGATTAGGATATAGTTGTTTATATTCAGGTTTTGCATTTGATCCTGTTTGAGTCCATGTTCAGCTATTAAAAGTATATCAGGTTTTGAAATGTTCAGTTCAAATTCGAGTTGGCACAGTTTCTTTTGTAGTCCTCGCTGAATATTTATATAGATAATTTTTAGGTGTTTTTCTTTTATGCTTATTTGTTTGATCGTGTTGGGGTCGATTTGGTTGTCTTTGTTTAGTCCATTATGGACGGAGAATGGCCTTGCAAGTTTTTTGGTTCTCTATTTGACAGGTTATCAGTGGTGTTTGCTTGATCTGCTGGTTTTTCTGGGGTTGGTTGTGAGTTAGTAGGCCTATTACAGTCTCGAGTTGTAGGTTGGGTTGCTATGAGATTTGGACTGGATAAGTTGTGCTTTGGCCCCTGAACATATGTTTGTTCAGGTGGTGTTATGAGTGGTTTGTCCTGGCTCAGGCTTTTGGAGGGGCTAGGCTCATTTGTGTATTTATTATCATGGTCATTGTCGAGGTAATTTCTATAGGGGGTGGCGGGTGGTTGTTTTTCAACCTCCTGTATCAAGGTTTTTCTCTTGCTAGTTCCATTTAGCCTATTTTGGTTGATAGTCTTAGTGTGTCTGTTGTGGTTTCTGTTGAGTGCGGAGTGCGGGCAGGTTAGGTTAGCTTCTGTAATTATGTGATGTGCCAGGACTGTTGCACCTTTTAGATTAGGATGGATACCATCGGGACGATAGTTGGAGGTGTCGACGATAGCACCTGAGTCTATATAGCTAATCTTAAGTTGCTCACACATGAATCTGTAGGCTTCATTTATTTCTTTAATGTATGTTTCTCTCGTGTCTCTTCTAGGTAGGATTCCATTTACATACCATTCTGTGGTTGGGTGAAGTTTCTGTGCAGCTTCAATGGCCAGCCACAGTGGCCTCATCGCATGGTTGGGAGTTTTGGCGTGCTGAGCATTATTAGATCCCAGGTTAATAATTACTTTTCTAGGCATGCTTTTTGTTTCGTTTAGTATCTGGTCTAGGTCTTCGATGTATCCCCCTGGTATAATTTTACTGTCCACGTTTATTTTGTAATTATCCTTGATGATGCTAGCCGCTGCGCGAAGTATTGAGTCTCCAACAAGAAGGGCTTTTGGTTGGGTGTTTTCTATTTCTTCTGGGGTGCATTTACAGGATCTACTTGACCTGGATTTGTTGTTGTTGTTGAGGTTTGTTTTGTTATAGGCGTTTGATTTTTGGA